TTTTAAAAATTTCTTTTTAAAAAAAATAAAAAAAAAGAAAATATCTTAAAAAAAAAAAAAAAAAAAAAAAAACTTTGACCAGTAGTGCATATATAAAATTTGCACCCTGTTTAGAAAAAAAGCACTGGCAGACCTGGTTGGAGTCAGCAGATCAACAAAGGATCAAATGATGAAGTGAGAAGCAAATCAATGAACACATTTCTGCCTCAGTCACTCAACTGAGTCTCAAAGAGCCACTAAACAGCAGTCCCTTCCCTGTCCACTGACCCCACTTACCCGTGCCATGTTGCAGATCCTAAAAATGCGATTGATAATGTCCTCGTCAATGTCAGCGGAGATGAATTCAACCTGAATGGGGCCGTAGCAGCAGGAGCCTTTCTCTGGCCAGTACTGCATGCAGAGCTGTAGCGAGGAAGAGAATTACAGCAAATAAGCACACTGAACAGAAGTCCACATTCAGACAATAATGTACTTAGAGTTCATGAAGTTGAAGTCAAAAGAGTGCAAGAGAAAATGGAAACAACTCAATAATGCTGAAGTCCACAAATCTCATCTCAACTCAAATTGCAGTATGCCAAAGAAATCTGTTCCAATGATCCCTCATTTACTCACTCAAACTTAAATGAGTCACATCGTGATGAATCAAATTTCCCTTGACCTAAAATATACTGTAACTTTCAGAATTCTGAGTGAAAAAAGATATCATAAAAGACTCTTTTTCATCATGAATCATCTCATTTATAACTTTTCTAACATTCCTGGAAAAAAGTTGTGTTTTATATATATATATATATATATATATATATATATATATATATATATATATATATATATTAGTGCTGTCAAACGATTTATATATGTTATATTTCATATATACACTACCTTTCAAAAGCTTGGTGTTTGTACTATTTTTACACTCAACAAGGCTATATTTATTTGAACAAAAATACAATAAAAGAAGCAATAATGTGAAATATTATTACAATTTAAAATGGCTGTTTTGTATTTAAAAATATTTTTAAAATGCAATTTATTATTATTGGCAAAGCTGAATTTTCAGCATCATTAATCCAGTCTTCAGTGTCACATGATCCTTCAAAAAATTTTCTAATATGCTGATTTGCTCAAGAAACATTTCTGATTATCATCAATGTTGAAAACGGTTGTGCTGCTTAATATTTCTGTAGAATCCATTTTCTTTTCAAAATAATGATCAATGTAATGTGTGCTTGCTGAATAAAAGCATTCATTTATAAAAAAAAAAAAAATACTAACCACAAACTTTTGAATGGTAACGTATACTTTATATAAAACTAATTTATTATATTAATGTGTTCATAAAGACTTTTTAATTTACGCTGCAATCCTTTCTGGATTGAGCCTCATCCACAAAAATTAATACAACACTAGGAGGAAAATAAATCCCATCTTCCAACATCCAATTGCAACAGATAACAAATGGTGGTGAGGGTCAAGTACTTCACATACCTGTGCAGCATCCATTTCATTCAGCATCACAATAGTGGAGCAGTTGTAGTCAAACACTAGCCTCCAGAAGTCGGCCACGGTGTTGGGCAGAGGGTGCTGCGTTAC